CCCAGTGGCTGAATGACTGACGTATTTGGCGTGAAACCTGAAGATCCTGGGTTCAATCCCTAGTCAGGTCATGGGTGTGATACTCCTGAGGAGTCCCATACAATGACGAAACAGGTGTTCAGTACTCCCAGGTTTTCAATGGTTCCCCGACTGATGTCACTCAGTGATGGATACTACCTTAAAAGATGAAGTAACGATTACCGCCAAAATGTATTATTCAACTCTATCAGGTAAAATTATGATCCTGAAGTCTGAAAAAAAACCATTTGTCTGTCTATAAGAGTTTTCTTCTTTTTTCTATGCGCTTCTTTTTTTGTACGGTTGTGCAGTTTTGTCCAATGTTCAATATCCGTCTATCTATGTGTTTCATTTTTATTGATTGATTAGATTTATCACACAGTGAAGCAACAGTATTGTTTACTGGATTATGTTTTGGATGAAATTTATTGTCCATAGTCATATCAAGGTGACTACACAACTTTGAGACATCCTTTATACAGTCTTAATTTCCTCGCCTCCTTAGTGATATGAATAGTAAGGTTTTCTATATATCCGGAACAGATGCTGAAAATCATTCCTGCTGCTGCATGTATTAGGTGTTGGTTAATTCGATACACAAAGATTCAGTTATCAATCTCTCCCTCCACCCTGTTATGTTAGTTTTAAGGATTTTCACCCTGTCCCATCCTATTGTGTGCTGGTGTGTGTAATCGCATTTATAGCTATGGCTGACCTGTTTTCTAAGTTCTATACCTTACTGGGATATACCAATTTTAGACCTAGGTAGGTTTTTGTGTTAGGATAGCCTAAATGACTGATCCTGTTCGACTACTTTGACCTATGTATTTGACTTTGCAATCCTTGCAAGGGATTTGATAAACTAAATTATTCTGTTTAATTGGATCAATAGGATCTTTTAACCTACAAAGCCTACTTCGAAGTGAGTTTGAAGGTTTAAATGCCACTCTAATCCCAGACAGCCTTATTGAGAATTCTAAGTAGTATTTCTGAGGTGCCTTCTTTGTATGGTAATACTGTGGAGGTTTTGAATTCTCTATTCACAGTATCGCCGCTACTATTATTAACACTATTATCACTATTATTGTTGCTAATCTTACCACCATTGTTACTACTATTAATAACTGTGTTACTAATATTCTTATTACGATTCCTAAGTAACTTATCAATTAATTTGTGAGGGTAATTCTTGATGAGTGAGGTGTTTTTAATGCATCTGGTTTCCTCACTTGGATCTTCTGTTTTACCAGTAAGTTTTTAGGCTCTGTTACTCAGACCCTTTACTAAGCCAACTTTAACTGACATAAGGTGAGACGATTCGAAGTCTAATTAACGATTTCAGTGTGGAGGTTTCCTATAGACACTAATGTCTAAACTTCCATTTTGTTTCCGTTTTAATCTTCAATCCAACATCATTAACTCCCCTTCAATATTTTCTAACTCATAGGTGAACTGGATTGCATCGACTACTGAATTAATATGTGTGAAGAAATTATGAATGTGCTCTGATTTCAATATTAGAAACGTGTCATTTACATATCGACACCATACTTCTGGAGTAGGACTCAATGTTTCGATACCTATCCCTTTCCAACTATTCATAAGTATGTCAACCAAAACAGGGGATATTGTTGATCTCATGGCAACTCCTTCTGCTTGTTTGTATATTTTATTCTGAAACCTAAATATTGTGGAGGTTAGACATAGTTTTACTCCTAGCATGATATCATCTATTGGTACCTTAGTTTGTAGTGTAAGCTCGTGGTCATTATCGAGCTCGTTTCTAACTGCTTCCAGGGCCATGCCAGTCGGTATATTGGTCATACAGACTGACTACATCATAACTAACCATTTTTTCATCGTAATCTAAATATATGTCATCTAATTTATGCCTCAAGTCATAAGAGTTAGTAAGAGACGAAAAAAATTAGGGCTATATATAGGATATCTCAAAGTTGTATAGTTATCTTAATATGACGACTATAGACAATAAACTGTATCCGAAATGTAATCCGGTAAACAATACTGTACCTTCACTGTATGATAAATCTAGTAAATTAATTAAAAATGGAATTACATTCTATCACAGTGTACAAGTTTTACTCTTAACCTAAAACTAACTTCAGTTAGGATTATGTAAAAAAATGTTATGAGATTTTTTAAGTATATCGGTTATGCATAATTCCTATCAAAATTGAAAATACCACCATCTGCTAAGCATCCTTACAGGAGTCCAAATGCCAATCGAGGTCGATTAATCCGACTCAATCAACGACGGAGATTTACAAGTTATGACACTAAGAAAACAATATTGTTACACACTTGATTGATTGTATAATTATCCTCTTTTTGTATCAAAACAGTAGAAGTGGTCATAGAGAGGATAACTTGAGCCCAGTTTATAATACAACACTGTGCGATGAACTGTATTTACTGGATTATTTTTACATATTGGTAAATCACTACCTGCTGAGTAAAGCTTAAGAGATTATGTGACTCATTAGCTTCAAATGGAAACTTATGTTGACAGTGATGCAGATCCCTTGTGTTAGTTAGTCGGAGGAAATCGGTAGGAAGGCGTGGATTTAGGTTTTGCACATATTGACACTCACCAGGAAGGCGTATCTACAACGTCAATGGAACTGATGTCTCCTTTGAGATTCGAACCCATCCCACCTAGTGTTGTAGTAAGTGACGTTACCACTGAGCTACTCTGGTCGCAACTGACTTCCTATAAGCTTGGGTTACATAGTTCCCATGTGTCTTTGACTGTTGAGAAGTAACGGAAAATTTTCAAATGTGTATCTAATGCTTGATTACTTCATGTTTGTTTTTTCTCATTATTAAGAGTAAATTGGAAATCTGGTTAGCGACAGACTTCGAACCAGTGACCTTTGAACACCGGCTTGATGATAAACCCGACAGAATCATGATATCTTCACATTTTACTTCTTTTGAGATATTTGCCATTCATGATCTATCTCTTTCTTCTTTCATATATCCTTGATACCTTCATATTATGCTTTGCGTATATACGTAGGTGTCTACATGATGCAATTTTTGTTATCCTTGCTGGATCACTTTCGTCTTTTTTAATGAATAAAATATGAGGAACAACTTTTATGATCGTAGCTGATTATAAACCAGAGAACAGTGTTAACCATATTGACATTTCATTTGAATGTTAGACGTTTATCGATATAAAGTCTTACTTTATCTACGTTTCGTTTCAGTTTGCCCTCATCAGCAAGGTACATCTTCAAAAAAGTGATAGAAACTCACATTATTTTAGATCTTTAACAGTGTATCACTTAATGATAAAGTCAGACACATTTTATTACTAAGATAGTTAAACCATTAGTATTGACGTCCTATAGGATTGAAAAAGGTATACGAGTTGACCACTGACTGGTTACTGAGATGCAGTTGTCAGGTGATGAATCCTCAGCACTGCTGGAAATCGACTGGGTAGGCTCCAAAATGAACTCGTTTATGGAAAGATATCCTTCAACAACCGCTACAATATTCAGTAAAGAAGCTCTATAGTGAATAAAATATAATTTATTTGACTTTAAGGGTTACATGAAGTACTGTATTATTGCTCTTCTGAATGGATGACGGAACTAACAAAGGATAAATATATCAATAATAAAAACCATAAAAGTATAGGAACATAGTGGAGAATATTTATAGCTCAGGTGGATGGTCTTGGTTGTATTGTGTTCTCTGAGCTGGATTGTTTCATTGTCTTTCTAGACGATATCATCAGCATTATGGACATGAATTCAATTTCAACAATGTAGAAATCTTGAACAACAGACAGGAAACACAAAGAATATCAGTGAATTCCTATAAGCTTGGTATTCAAGTCAGTCAATCAGCAGTCAACAGATGTATAGACATAGACCCAATCTATCAACCAATAAAAAAGATGATAAACGACAGAAAGGTCAGAGTTGAAGGAGATGAACAGCCAACAGGAACATCTATACAGTCAATGACACAACAATCAAAGGAAACAACCAATCACAAACTAGTTGGTCAGGGTAAGCTACTAAATCACTTATGGAGAGATATTGACAGCTCACTTCATACTGAAGTTAGTGTTGATGATGTCATCTGGAAAGATAATCAAACCTTCATGATTAAACAAGCCAACTTAGAGAATACAATACAACCAAGCATGTGAACACGTTTTTCATCAAAGATCGACATGAGATGGAGAAATATTCAAAACCTGCAAGAAATGAGCACCTATTTCGTCTTAGCAGTATGTATCTACGAACCTGCATGGGATCGAAACCATATTTGTCAGTTCCCAAAGTGATTAAGTTATCATTCAACCACTGCGTTGGATTATAGTTATACCTTATCGTGAACTAACAGAATTAGAAGAAATGTGAATTATTGCGTTTCAACAAACTACAGACATTCATCAACAACTGGCTACGCTGGCTCGTTACTGAAACTCAGATGGCCAGAATAATAAGAATAAGCAACAAGGAACTCTGTCTGGCTGACAACGAAGGCCGACTGGGGACATCATGCGTCAGGCCAGGCAGTTGAGTGGAAACCAGATGGGAAACGACGAGTTGGGTATGGGAGGCGAGGGTGACATGGAGGAGATCGTGTAAGGAAGAAATGAGAGGTTATGGGCATTGTTGGAGCCAGGTTGAAAAGATTTCAGAGAAGAGAGTGCACTGGAGACATGATTTTGAAGCCGTCTGTTCCACTAGGAACCCAATGGACAAATAATAACATAATATAGTGGCAGAAGAGTGAGAGACAGAGGACCTGGATGAGTACTGCTGAAGAGTCATAAAACGGGATGCAACAACTCTCTAGGGTTTCCAGCTGGTTTCAATTAATGATGAAAACTGTATTACAGTTATCAACCAGTCCTTAAAAATCATTCACTGAAATCAACAATACAATCAATTTTTTTTCAGATATAGAATAGAGTCAATTAAAAATTAGCTTACCTTAAGCCCCATTTCTATTGCTTTAACACGTAAACCCTGTTCTAAATCATCAGAATTTAATCCTTGTAAAACAAGTGGTGATACACCAGATGGACGATTCAATGGTATTTGAGCTAATGTAAGAAAACCATCCAATTGAGTTGAATGATGTTTAACTAATTCAACTGGTCCAATAAATTTATGCCCTTTAGAAAACAAAAAGGTTGAAATACAACGCAAATAAATCAGAAGAAAATAAACAAAAGAAGAGGTTATTGTTCACTAACACACACACACAACAAACATTTTTATTAATTATCTCACCAGGTAGTATTAAAAGTAAATTGTTCACTAGTGACATATTTCTAGGTAGATATCCTAAAGTTCTAATGAGAAGCTATGATCTATAAAGTCAACTGGTCTGAAGTGAAACGAATGCCAGGTGAAGAACCTGGGAGACAGTCGTACTACATCATCAAGTGACAGAAGTAAGAAACTGTACGTTATTGAACTCCAACCAAGTGATTGAATAATTAAAGAGTTCATCATGAAACCTATAGGGCATCAGCTCAATCCCTGATAAGGTTTAGGGTAGTCATTACTATGGGATCCCAGACTAGCACAAAACACCTGGTCAATGCTCCCAGGTCTTCAATGGTTCCCTATCTGATGTCAATCGGTGATTAATATCCCCATGAAATGAAATCGCCATAAACCTCAAATTACAAATATTATGTAAGATGATATTACACAGGAATCACGAAGAAATCTACTGACATATCTAAGAGTGGAAACCCAAGTGGGAAACAATGAGTTGGTCATCCGTGCTGAGTGTGACATGGAAGGGACCATATGGGGAAGAAATGAAAGGTAATGGGCAGTTATGGAGTCAGGTTGAATAGACTAGAGAGAAGAGAGTAAAATGGTGACGAAGTAGGTAAGCTATCTTTTACAGTAGGAACCCAAGGGACGAATAAAATAAAATTGAAGAAGGAAATAAAACGCAACAAATGATTATTATTACAATCAAAATAATAGTAATAATGGTAGTTTAGTTGGCTGTGGCTAGCAGAGGAAGACAGGGCACAAGTTTTGTCCTTTTAGGGACTCATCAGGTGGATGTACCCACATCCCAGTCAGTGATGTTGTTCCCACTGAAACTCATATCATGTACCCATCACTTTAAACACCAAGTCTTTATCCACTAGGCCATGGAGGTGCGATAGCCACTTCTTGTACAACGGGTGTTAGCTATTATGATTTTTGCTGATATACTTGTAATTCTCCGTTGTTTGATCCGACCGAATTGTTCGACCTCTACTGGTATCTACATAGGAGCCCATTTGCCAATAGAGGTCGAAAAATTCGATTCAGTAAAACAGTGGAGAATTACAAGTATATATCAATAAATAGTAATAATGATTAGCGACATAAAGTGTGTAACGTTTCTGTTACAGTATTCAGTCATACGTTTAAAATAACACAGTAAATTGCGAAGTACTGAACAGCATTGAACATTAAGAAATACCCAAGCTGTGAACCAAAAGATATTGTTTCTCCCTTCACACACCTTTCTCTCCTCCTTCATTGTATCTTATACTTCTCTAAGCCATAGAAACGTGAAAAGCTAAAGATTGATGGTTCATTGCAAGAACAGTCAAACCAAATACTCTGTAGGTCATTTATATTCACCTCAAGATATCGAATAAAAAGCAGTCAGTTGGGATGGCAGTAAAGACGGTAACAAGAAAAGGATCTGTCATTACTGTTTAACAGTTCAAGTCAGCACACACTTCATATCATCATATCAAAATAAGGATACGAAAAGATGAAGCAATGAAGAAGAAAACAACTAAAATTGGTAGGAAATTGTGGAAAGAAAGTACAGAGAGCTAAGGAAATACTGGAATTCGTTACACGAACCAAGATTAAGAAAATGTGTGTTTACATCCACATCACTGAGAGTTTCCAACCACTGGTTTGTTTTGTCACATGGACTCCAACGGTGAAGTCTGCAATTCTGAATGCAACTCAGACCAACAGTGAAAGACTTCAGAGAATGGTCCGTGACTTCTACGTCACTGATATGGTGGCGCCACCGACGGTAACAGTGAATCAAACACTTGAAGCCTTTTCACTTCTTTTACTTCTAATGTCTGTGTTTCACAATTTTTGAGTTAAATAAAGCCAACCGCAGCGCAGTACACACAACCCTTATTAAACAGTCGGATATTATTGCGGCACCTTAAATGGAGAAATTTAATGAAAGTCAATCTAGCCTTCTGCATCCGTGCTGAGTACTAATCAGTCACTGAATTATCAAGACCGACGTGATTTCCCAAGTAAGTGAAATAGTCAACGTACTCAATCATCTCTCTGATAGTCACATGAAAAGATACCATCCCTTCGTTGTCATCTGTTTTTAAATCTTTTATTTTGTCCAAGAAATCAGCTCCAAAACTGTCCGAATTTCCAATTTTACTGATGAGGTGCTTGATTTTTCTGTATAATTCGTTCAACTGATTAAATATATAGGTGTCTCAGGCAGTGAAATTACTGGTTGTGGCGAAATATTCATGTTTTATATCTTTAGTGGACCGTAGAACTCCGGTAGGAATGATCAATTTGTCTTCAGTAGCCACTATTCTACTATTGGGACTTGACTAGATCTTACTAAATTCCTGAGTTTTCCTTAGATCTGTCTAATTATTGAATTGGATTTTGATTCAATTTTAGTCTGTTTATTAGAAATATCATACAATGAAACAGTAGCATTTATTGGATAACATTACGGACACAATTTATTGTCCATATTCATATCAGGCAACTAACTCCACAACTTCGAGACAGAGTTTTATCTGGTCATAATATTCTCTCCTTCTTTGTAATGACAAGGTTAACAGAATTTTCCATACATCTGGGACAGGTGCAGAATCATTTCTGTTACTGCATGTATTTGATGTTGATTTGATAACCGGAGATCCGGTTATCAATCTCCCCCACCCTCCACCCAACTAGGTTAGTTTTTAACACTGTCGTTCTACCCAACCTTACTGTGTGATTGTGTGTCATCGCATACAGAGCTATAGCAGAGCTTTTCATACACTCTTACGATCTGCTAATCTTGATTTTGCCAAGTTTTTGTAGGTCATAATAAGATAAGGAATTCAGAGAAAAGCTCTGCTGTGGCTCTGTATGCGATGACACACAATCACACAGTAGGGTCGGATAGAGCGACAGTATTAAAAACTAACCTAGTTGGGTGGAGGGTGGGGGAGATTGATAACCGGATCTCTGGTTATCGAATCAACATCAAATACATGCAGTAATAGAAATGATTCTGCACCTGTCCCAGATGTATGGAAAATTCTGTTAACCTTGTCATTACAAAGAAGGAGAGAATATTATGACCAGATAAAACTCTGTCTCGAAGTTGTGGAGTTAGTTGCCTGATATGAATATGGACAATAAATTGTGTCCGTAATGTTATCCAATAAATGCTACTGTTTCATTGTGTGATATTTCTAATAAACAGACTAAAATTGAATTACAATCCACCACAGTGCCCAAGTTTTACTAGTATATGAAATGGACTTTGGTCTGGTAGTCGGTAAACACTTTCGTTACTCAGTAGTGTTGGCGCCTTTTTGGCAAAATCTATTACTAGTGGGTGATGATTGAAGGTGAAATGAGAATTTCGACCGCGGTCGGGGATTCGAATTAGCTACCATCGGGTTTTCAGCCCTATGGTCTACCAACTGAGCTACAAGGTTCGACTGCTGACATGATCTCCATTCCACCTCAATCACTTAGAGTTTTCCCCGGCCACCATATGAATTCGTGATACATTACTACCACTTGATCATATTCACACTGGTTACTGCCTAGTCAGGACTTCGCATCCCAATAGAAATGTAACTGAATTAGAATGACAGGGGAAGCATCATATTGATTACCATTTTGACTATCTGAGACAGCTGAGGTTTGGTAGACGTGCAGTATTCATATTAGATGACCCGATGGTTTTTCGTTCGAATCTGGCCGCAGTTCAACTTTTCATTTCACCCTCAATCATCACCCAGTATAAGTACTGCAAATCTTCCAAAGCATTACGCCACATGCCAAGTGATTCACAACGGGAAGCTCAGTGATGCTTTCGAAGTGAACACAGGTGACAGGAGTGAGACAAAATTGCCACCTACTATCACCCATGATCTTCCTGATTGTGGTCGACTGGATCATGTGGCAAACAGTGAGAAGCGAGAATATGGGGATACGATAGACCACTGAAAAGATCCTAGAAGATTTGGATTTCGCCAACGATGACTTGTGTCTAATGTCACACAAGCTGGAAGATCTACAGGCGAAAACTAACAAGTTGATAGAAGAGGCAGGTCAGCGAAGACGGGACTTTAGGTGAATATAGAGAAGACAGAGGTAGAGGTGATTAAGATACCCAACCAACACCACCAACAACAACAACAAACACCAATCACCATCAACGGGAGATTCTTAAAGGAATTAGCCTCCTTCACCTATCTAGGCGAAGCAGCATCATTTCAACTACAGGTGGCACAGGCACAGACCAGGACGTCAAAGTCAGGATCGGAAACACAGCAAGACAAGCCTTCATTATCCTGAAACCAGTGTGAAGATCTGCTGCACTCCAATCAGCTTAAAGCGTGAACAACATCCGGATTTTCAACACCAACCCAGTCAAGTCAGTGCTTCTGTATGGTTCAGAGACTTGGCGCGTTACGAAAAGCATTTCTAACAAACTACAGTTAGTCATCAACAACTGACTACACTGGCTCGTTACTGATCAGACGAGAAAGAATAAGCAAGGAGGAACTCTGGCTCGCTGGCAACGAACTAATGAAGCAAGAAGCTATCGCTCAACAAATATGCAGCAGGAAGTGGAAGTGGAGATGGGTTAGGCATACACTGAGAAAGCCGACTAGGGACATCACTCGTCACGCCAGGCAGTCGAGTGGAACCCCGATAGGAAGCATCGAGTTGGTCGTCCACGGCGAGGGTGACATTGAGGAGATGGGGTGAGGAAGAAATGAGAGCTTTTGGGCAGTGGTGGAGCCAGGTTCAAAAGATGCGGAGAACGAAGCGCATTGGAGACGTGCTACTGAAGCCGTATGTTCCTCTAGGAACCCAAGGGACAAATAATAATAATAATGTCATTATACAAATAACT